TACATTTTGAGAAAAAAGCGATTGAACAGTTGGTGACCTTCCCTCGTAAGTAGGCTTGCCTTTTCCCATTGAAAAAGTGCAGTATTTTGGATTTCTCTCATGATTGGCTTGAGCTACAGAAAATCCAAGGTTACCACTAGATAGAGCTCGTCGAGTTGTACTTGGAACCCGTGTGGAACACTTGGACCACGTTCCTGGACGAATATGGGCAGGTTTTAGTGACCATACACATAGCAAAAAGGTACTATTTTGGGATTTTCTCACCAATGGTTTGGATTACGAGTGATCCAAGGTCACCATTAGATAGAGCTCGTCGAGTTGTACTTGGAACCGGGCTGGAACACTTGGACCACGTTCCTGGATGAATATGGGAATGTTTTACTAAGTAGGTTTGCCTTTTCCCATAGAAAAAGTGCAGTGTTTTGGATTTCTCTCATGATTGGTTTGGGCTACGGAAAATCCAAGGTTACCACTGGATAGAGCTTGTCGAGTTGTACTTGGAACTCGGGTGAAACACTTGAACCACGTTCCTGGACGAATATGGGAAGGTTTTAGTAACCATACACATAGCGAAAAGGTACTATTTTGGGATTTTCTTACCAATGGTTTGGAGTACGAGTGATCCAAGGTTCCCATTAGATAGAGCTCGTCGAGTTGTACTTGGAACCGGGCTGGAACACTTGGACCACGTTCCTGGACGAATATGGGAAGGTTTTAGTAAGTAGGTTTGCCGTTTCCCATAGAAAAAGTGTAGTATTTTGGATTTTTCTCATGATTGGTTTTGGCTACGAAAAATCCAAGGTTACCATTAGATAGATGTCGTCGAGTTGTACTTGGAACCGGGCCGGAACACTTGGACCACGCTCCTGCACGAATATGGGAAGGTTTTACTCGAATATGGAGCTAACTTCACCTACGTTTTTTTATTCCATCATTTTATTGTTCAGGCTTAAAAAGAAGGTCAATCTAGATACCATCATATTAAAATATATAGTATGCATACATATTCTTTTGTTTTTTTTATAACTTGATCGTCAGACATGTCAGACTGAAACGAGAAAGAAAAAGAGAGATAGTCGTCCGCAATACAGCATTGATCTAATAATATATATATACTTTCTCATACATAATTGTCCTGTCATTTTTTTTCAATCATTCTATCAATATACGAATACTCAGCGTTTACATTTAAGATGTGTCGTACTGTTTCTCATGAGGAAATCTTCGATGTAAGTAAGATGAAACAAATTGCAGTAAAATATAAAAACATTTATAAATAAAAGAATCATATATGACATACTATATATGTTATCATTGTTGATTCTACAGATTTTGTGCGTGAAAAGATTACATTAATTGATAAAGTTACTTGACTACTACCATGTCTCGGTTAAAACAATTCTTTCGATCGTTTTCCTCTGCTCAAATTTTCTTACTTATATATATGTTCATGATCGGAATAAAGTTGAATCTAGCAATGCAAGAGAGTAGTTATAATATAGGTTATAGGTTTTCATAGTTCAACATTAAAAATAAAGCATCACTCAGATCAACTCGAACTTTCCGAAAGATGATTAACTTAATCGTTTTGACATGTATAATTTCAACAGTAAAAGTTCAATATTATCAGATATTGTAGGGGAAAAATATAAGAAAATTTTTAATAATCTTTAGACCGTTGAAAGTTGATTAAATAATATTTGGATATCTTCCTCCAATCGAATAAATTTGTTTTGTTTCTTTTAGATATTTGATGAAGAGCCACCAGCGCCACCATCATCTGATTTAACATCATCAACATCTCATCAAGGTCCTTCAATAACAACACATACAAATGATAATATTGAAAATCATGGTATTACACTTGGTACTGGTATTGGACTTGGTATTGGTATTGGTATTACAGCTGGTTGTATTGCAGTTAGTATTGGTATTGGTATTGGTATTGGTATTGGATATATCATCTTCAAATCTAAGTGACTAATAACATCAATTCAAATAATTCTGTTCTCTTTATTCTAATTCATATCTTATGTTTTTTTTGTTGATAACTTTAATAATTAATATGTTTTTTTTTCGATACAAAAATTCAATTTGTTCTTAACATTTTTCAGTCTAAATAATTCTGACATATTCTGCAGGCAGAATTCATTATTTGAACATGAATGGCATAAAAAATTTCTTATTCTTGTTTTAAATGAACGTAAACTTGAAAATGAACATTAAAAACAACAATTAAAATAATTATCAAATCATCATATAAAGTAAAAGAGAAAAAAAAACTTTTCTTTAAAATTATATTAAAGAATTTTATTTTAGTGATGATACACAACGCGAAGCAAAATTTAAAGAATTAGAAAATGAATGTAATAAACAAGTTTTAATAAAACGTATTAAACAATTATAAGATGAAATTTATCTATTAGTTAATGAAAAAAAAACAACAATCTGCAACCAATAATAATAATTATTTATATTTTTTTTTGTTTTGACAAATATTCTTAATATATTAACATTTAGATGTTTCATTGGACAAAGAAATGATTGAAACAGTTTCTCAAGTAGTATCTGCAACAAATGATTCATCACCAACATCATCTAATTCTAATAAATCATCTGTATCAACAACAGCTGATATTCGCTGTCCAACTATTATTCCTACACCATCATCATCAAAAAATGGTTATAATCCAATAACAAAAAGAAGAGTTCTTCTTCCATTAATTCCAACATGTACACAACAAACATCATCGATGACAAGTTCAACATAATCTATTCCTGAATTATCTTTATCGCTAGTAGCTACTGTTGCTAAACGTAATGTTATACCGATTCGATCAATATCAAATGTTTCTTAATCTCCAATTACGTCAAATCTTCATTCATCACCAAGAAATAGTCAAATATCAATATGATCTATTCGACTGGTTCATCAAGAACAGGAAATAATGTTACACATGGTGTTGGCGGTATCACACGTTTAACAAAAACTTTACATTAAATTGTTAAGCCGACAACAGCAACAACAACTGACACAACAAAACAATCTGACCAGATAAATCAATGGTGTTTTTTTTCTACTTATCTAATAAAAAAAAAGAAACGATAATTAAATAATTCAATGCATGACTTCATATTTTTTCTTTTTATTATTTATTTGGAGACAAAAAAATTTTAAAATGATTTATATGTAAAATAAATTAATCTTGTGATTCTGCAATCTATTCTCTCCATCTTGTCGACTAGTTTTTCGTCACAACACAAAATTGATGATAGGCGAACGCTTTCATCCATCTACCCACGGAAAAATGTTTTTCGAAAAACCGCTCAAAACCGCGATTTTTTTCATTCGACCGCGGTTTTACTAGAGGAAACCGCGGTTTGGATTGGATAACCGCGGTTGATAGCGGTATTTTTGAACCGCGATTTTCTGAAACCGCGTTGCTCGTATTCATGATCGCGGTTCTAAATACCGCGGTATTCAACGGTCTAAAAAGTCGCGGTATGGTAATTGGAAACCGCGGTATTTCATAGCACGGTATTCAGCGGTTTTCAAAACCGCGATATAGTCATCAGTAACCGAGATGATAAATACCGCAGTATTGAGTGGTTTTTTAAACTGCGGTATATTCATCGGTAACCGTGGTGGTAAGTAGGGCGGTACTGAGCGGTTTCAAAAACTGCGATACAGTTATTAGTTATTGCGGTAATAAATACCGCAGTATTTAGTGTTTTCAGAAACCGCCGTATAGTCATCAATACTCGCGGTGGTAAACATCGCGGTATTGAATGGTTTTCAAAAACGCGGTATAGTCACTAATAGCCGCGGTGGTAAATACCGCGGCATTGAACGGTTTCTAAAACCGCGGTACAGTCATCAGTAATTGCGGTGACAAACACCGCGGTATCTAGCGGTTTCTAAAACCGCTGTATAGTCATCAGTAGTCGCGGTGGTTAATAAGGGCGGTATTGAGCGATTTCAAAAACTGTGGTATAGTCATTATTTATTGCGGTAATAAATACCGCGATATTCAGCGGTTTCTAAAACCGCGGTGTAACCATCAGTAACCGCGATGATAAATAATACGGTATTCAATGGTTTATAAAACCGCGGTATAGTCATTAGTAACTGCGGTGGCAAATACCACAGCATTCAGCGGTTTCAGAAACCCCGGTATGCCATCGAATAATCGCGTTATTTATTACCGCGTTTTTCAGCAGAGAAAACGCGGTATTTTTGGTGCTTAAACCATCGCGATGGAATGTGTAAGGACGAAGAGGATGTCGTGCCCCGCTATTTTCATGAAAATTTTGCATAAGTTTTCTTATTCTATCTCTCACTACAAAGTAACTTTGTGGTAATGGAACTTCTAAAGTTCACTACAGACCCCTTGAAGGGTCGCTCACCTGAACTTTATCATAAGTTTAGGTGAGTCTGATCATACCTGAATCAGGTATGGTCATGGAAACCGCGTTTTCCAGCTGTTCCAGGAAACCGCGTTTTCTAGCGGTTCCAGGAAACCGCGTTTTCTAGCGGTTCCAGGAAACCGCGTTTTCTAGCGGTCCCAGGAAACCGCGATTTCTAGCGGTTCCAGGAAACCGCGAAAGTCAGACTTTTTATTCGGTTTTTTTAAAACCACCAAAAACTCCGGTATCGGTACATTGCGGTCATCACCGCTTGAATAAACCGCGAAAGTCAGACCTTTAATGCGGTTTTCCAGACCGCGGTAATCAATGGTTTTTCGAAACCGCGAAAGTCAGACCTTTTATGCGGCTTTGGATACCGGTGAAAACCGCGGTGTGAAATTACCGCGGTTCTTGGCGGTTTTCAAAAACCGCATAAAAGGTCTGACTTTCGCGGTTTCGGAAAACCGTTGATTACCGTAGTTTGTGAAACCGCGGTTTCTCGCGATTTTTGTTCAAAAATTTTTCCGTGGGTATGCTTTTTGTATTTGTGTGAATATTTATCATTGAAATTCTTCTACTTCTTATATAAATATTCTAATAATGTTAATCATATCACCTAGATGTTCACATAAAAATGGGACGTACCAATCCTTCATTTGACTTTGATTCTTAATAAGGGTTTTCTTTTTCTGCATAAAATCACTTAGCATAGACATGTAAAAATGTTTACTCTTTCAGCTGATGCTTAATTAAAATTAATTAATTAAGAAGTAGTTAGTGAATATCTCTTTAAGAATATGAGAAAAAAAAATCCAAAAATTTCGGAATAGAATGTACGGTATGAACTACATCTATGGTGAAATTTTCAGCAAGATAGGACTCGAAAAATTCTCCTCTTAAAAAAAAACAACCGATTTTCTAAAGACCTTATGGAATTTCAAAAACAAAAATTTCTATCTTACCATTATCTGAAGGTTGTGAAGAAGAATTTGTAAAGGTGTGAATTTATTTTGAACTTCTCGTTCAGTTATGAGAGCATTTTTTCATTTACATATTCGTACTTTGTCGCGTCCCTAACGAAAAGTAAATCGAATTTTTGAAAAGTCTAGACATGCTCAGAAAACACTTTGGATAAGGATTCTATAGCCTTAAGATTCATCTACAGAATGTACCATTTAGCTTTTAAAAATTCTGTCTCAATGCGCAGATTTTTGAAACTGAAATGCATGCAATGAAAATCAATGTTCTTTTTTGCATAACGTCTCTAACGTAATCTTTTTACTTATAACTTCTGTGGATAATGGTCTACAGGGCTGTTTTTTTAAGTGTATTTAGAGTAACTAAGCATGCATGTGGTATATAAAAACTAGCTCTAAAAAAGTTTATTATCCAGAGATATATACATTTCGATTTTGCGAAGTCAAGTCCTTAGCGAATGAAATAGTTCATATTCACATTGTAGTCATGTTATTTTGCGATGTTTTTTATCAATACAATTATCATTATCTAAAATAAATCAAACAAGTGCACTACCTGTTTGTACAGGTTTAAGTACTGTATAAGCACCAAATAATCTTCTAGTAATTTATGTATGAAGTTTAATGCCACGAATCAAAATGAAACTTGATTTACAAGGAGAATGACGTGAACCACAAAAAGTTTTTTGTCAAGCAGCAGCAATATCATATTATATGATTGATTCATCGGTTGATATTGATGAAATATCATATGAACTTGATATGCCAGATATTTTTGCATCATTTGAACGACTTGTTTTTTCTATATGTTTGGTTTTTTACTTATTCGTTATGTTCAATTAGGTGATATTTTTCTAGATTGTTAAAGTTGATTTAGTATTGGTCTATCCGATCATACAAACAATTGAAGAATTGATAATAAAAACTTATGGAATCTCAAAAGAAAGTAGAATACTACACTGTGAACTCAAATACAAATCTTGTTGATAGGAATTTCTCAAAAGCTAATTGTTGGCTTATTATTTCATCCAATTGATATCAATAAAATTGACATTTTTCAATTATTAAAATTTATTTTTATAGATCCAACTGGTGTATTTCTTCGTCATCAATTAGCACGTACAACATGGATAGATCTTGATTTACGTGCTCAACAAATTCTTTCAGATCACAGTAAAACTCGTCGTAATCAATTAGAAGAATTATGTTTTGAAATCAATGCATTTATTTTTGCATTATATGTTTAGATCTTGTTGATGATGATACTGTATTAGCTGCTTCTATACCCAAGTGAGCTAAAAAAGACGTGCGAGGGGTGCGCCGAGCCCTCGACCCATCGGAAAATGGCAAACCCAGGGGTCGATTTGAAATTTCGATGGGTCCAAGGCTAGATGGTGAGTAACTTGATAGTTAGCAGAAGCATAGGATCGAAGTTTTCGTAATATGTATCGTGGTGCTATCTGGGGCACGAGGTCTGCCCATCGGAATTTCAAATCGACCCCTGGGTTTGCCATTTTCCGATTAGTCGAGGGCTCGGCGATGGGTATCTTAGAAGACATCGACAGTGGAAAATCGAGGGGTCGAAATGCCTATCGGATGGTCGGTTGGGTATGGAGACATTTTTATCATTTTCAATCAACTCCACTTGAACGTCTTGTTACATTTGTAACATATATAAGAAAAAATATTCGACATTTAGAACAATTATTTGATGAAAATTTTATGAAAAATGATTATATCTATTTTTTACCATTACATGATGATATTGTTCATACAAAATTTATTAATCAGCATTATCTTGATTTTAAAAATAAAACTAGAGTATTGTTCAAAAAATACTAGAGGATAAATTATATTTTTGTATTTTAGATAATTAAATATGGCTAAAACATTTAAACGTTTAACAGATGAAAATCTTGCACAAAATATGGAAAATGTTTTAAAACTTGTATGCAAAATAGGAAAAGAGTAATTATCTAAACAATACAATTTTCATTCGAGATTTTTTTATTTTGATAATATAGATCATATGGATCTATATATAAAGCAAAACATCGAGAAACAGGATATTTTTTAGCGATAAAATAGGGTAGAAAATAAAAATTACTTCTATCTATCTAATTAATATTTTATTTTTAGTACCAGTTGAAAGTGATTTACAAGAAATTATTAAAGAAATTTCAATAATGAAGCAGTGTGATTCACCTTATATAGTTAAATATTTTGGTAGTTATGATAAAGATGTTGATTTATGGATAAAAGAAATAATTTTTTTTTGTTCGTTTTGCTTTGGTATTTTTTAAAGATTGTTATGGAATATTATGGAGCTGATTCAGTATCAGATACAATGAAACTTCCAAGAAAAATAGTAATAATAAAAATCGAATTAGTTTTGTATTTTTTAAAGTTTTTATTAATTTAGTTAAATTAACAAGAAATAGCTGTTATATTAAAATATACACTTAAAGCATAGGAATATTTACATTTATGTAGTAATATTCATCGAGATATTAAAGCAGGAAATATTCTTTTAACAAATGATGGTCATGCTAAATTAGCTGATTTTGGTGTCACTGGACAATTAACAGCAAAAATTTAGTAAATTTTAATGAAATAATTATTTGTTTGTTTGTTTTTTTTTAATAAAATACAATGGCAAAACGATATACAATGATTGATAAATATTAATAAATAACTATTATTGTTGTTTAATTGAAATAGATTTGTTTTAGGAACATCATTTTGGTAAGAAATGAAAATTTTTACAAGAAAAATATGAAAAAAAAAATATTTGATTAGGATGGCACTGGAAGTAATTGAAGACATCGGACACGATGTTTTAGCAGGTATTTGAAGTTTAAGTATAAATTTTTTATAAAAATTTACTTTGTCTTTTTTATTATTCATTGATATTAATAGGTATTACAACTATTGAAATAGCTGAAGGAAAACCACCATATATAGTGATATTCATTCAATGCTTGTAAGTTATTGATTTATTAATTTCAATTTAAAAACAAAAATTATTATTTAGGCTATTTTTATGATTCCATCACATCTATCTCCAACATTTCAAGATACATCACGATGATCATAAGCTTTAAATGATTTCCTTTGAAAATGTCTTGTAAAAAATCCTGATGCACGATCAATAGCAGCTGAATTACTTAATATAATTTTTAATTTATTTTATTTCTTCATAACTTCTTTTTTTTTTGTTTCCTATTAACATTAATTTATTCGTAATGCTAAAGATATCAGTGTTTTACAACAAATGATTGACAAAGTTCGAGAAATTCAAGAACATAATAAATCTACAATACTATCTAATACAACAACAATAACTATACATAATAATGGAATTTTAACTGAACTTTCAATTGGTAATTATGGTACATTAACAAATAATAATCAATATGAAACAATTGTTCCTGAAAATCAACAACAAACATTTATAAATACAAATACTAATCGACAAGATACAAAAATAGATACATTTCAATCAAGTAGTTGTAATACAATGATTGAATTATCATCAGAATCATCTGATACGATGATTATTAATGAAAATGGAATTGAAATAGAAAATGATGCCAATAGTCAACAAGATACACACTTAAGATAGATTAACGAAAGATAAGATCTTGAATTTTTTATTTATATTTTTGATTTTGAGAAATTCATTCTAATCGATCATTTACAGTTTATGATATTTGCTAAGTGTTTCTATCATTGTTTTCATAATACAGATTTAATCGTTTTATTTTCTCTTGAAATTATTGATTGGATGGTCAAAGATCTAAAATCAATTTCAACATGTCCCACGCGAGGCTTCCAGGATTGGTAGGGTATGATGAGGGTTCTGAGGCAGCCAAGATGAACGACGCAAAATTTCTTTCGCAGCACATCTGATATTAATCTTTTTTCTTGGAACCTAAAATGTAACAATTTTTCGGGATTCGAAAACTTTTTGCAACCTTCTTATACAATTCGACTTTCTCTGGCAAATTCTCAAGAAGAGAACAGATGTCCAATGTAAGAAAATTTCTCAAAACTTTTGTCATCGAAGGTAACCACGCTGATGACCATTGTTCTAAATTAGGCTGCTTCAAAGGAAAAATTGACTAAACAAGAAACTTTTTCTAAGTAAACTGCGGTTACACAATTTTTATTTTTCACGAAATGAATACTTTTTCAGACTCATGAAAAACTCTTCTTTTCCTTATGTTTGTCGAAAAGAATAAGTATTATGGTAGGCCTTAGTGATTTCGCCGCTGAACGCAGCCACGCTAGTGTGACGGCATTTCGAAACTGATGCTCCTCAGAAGAAAGATAGCTGTAAAATTGCCATAAAAACAGAAAAATCACAGATATTTTTAGGTCGAGTACGCTCAGGTCGTTACTTTTTCACGAAGGAAAAAATTTTAACATTTCTTCAGAATTTTCAAGCAAAAATCATCGTTTGGTCCTAGATGCTGAATTAAAAAAAAATAGCAGCTGATTTCTTCAACTTGCCACACATAACTTCATGTTGTTCATCGACGTTCCAACGATCGTTTCCAATTATTTGGAAAGGATGATCTACCGACTCTCGTTCCCGTCCGGGATACTCCTGAGAGATATTTGTGAAAATATCTCAAACGAATGCTTTAGAAATGCCAAAAGTATGAGTGACGCTAAGGATATTTTTCATTCTCCAATATTTTTCAAAAAAAAAAGTGTATGTGAATCATCATTAAATTCTAAACAAAAAAGGCTAGTTAATTTTTTGCACAGATCAAAAAATTTTTTGAAAAAGAATTTTTCCCTGTTCTTCAGAGAACTAAAAAAGTTGTTTTTGTTTTTGTGCAATTTGAGTTCAAATTTAGATGATTCATAGGTAATCGACATCGCTAATCACGAATATGATATTCATTTTGCTTCAAAATAATTGTGAACGCGGGACCAAAGTTGTTCTGTAATATTAGAAGACAGCGGGAGTTCGGCTTTCATAATTATTTTGAAACAAAATGGATATCATATTCGTGATCAGTAATGTCAATAACCTAAGAATCACCGACATTTGAACTGAAATTGAAAAAGAATTCTTTTGAATCTCGCGGAAATCACGACAAAAACTTTTTTTTCCAAAACGTTTTTTTTTGGCCTGTGCAAAAAATAAACTAGCTTGTTTTGTTCAGAATTCAAAGCTAATTCTCAGCATATACATATATATATTTTTTTTTTTGAAAAATAGTGATCCATGAAAAATGATTTTACCACCACTTATACTTAACTAATTTTGCCGGCTACTAATAAATAATTTTCAATTATTGTGGGGTGTACACCCCCTACACCCTCCCACTTTCGCGGAACCTGGTTACACCGCTTCATCCCAGAACGAGACAAGATTTTCGACAACGAAGTGAGTACGAGACGATGTGACATTTCATGATTCATCTTGTTTCCTTATGATGTGGGTGTTGTTGAACAGATGTAAATTCTCTAACGACGTCTATCATTTTTCTTGTAGATATTTTTTAAATGTTAGCATTATGACTAAAGACGAAAATACATACATACTTATGTATATATGTGTTCAGTGTAGTCTACTAGTTTATTTCTATAATTGGTAGTGTACACTGATCTTGCTCTGAGAGTCACTTATATTGATGTAAGGCAAGATATTTGATCAACTGTTCATGATGGTAGACATACTTTGTCAAGTACTCATGAAATGACGTGCAACAAGATTCATAAACTACTTGTACATAGCTAGATTCTGGACAAGCCTGTGGCGAAACGGTTTTTCAGCTGTTTTGTGGATCTCTAGTCGGACTCTCTCGTGTATCATATCAATTTATTTTTCGGCATACAACATAACTTTTGAGAGAATCGTATTACTTTTATAAGTAGTAAACATATAACGATTCAAAATAGAAAGAACTATTTGATGTGTGGGTGATTATCTTTTGACTAGTATACAATCATCCTTGTGATCATTGGTCTTAGATATATTAGAATCTGTTTGATCTAATTAATAATAAGACATGAATTGCATTTCTCTGTATGATGATAAATTATTCACTTTTACTTTAGTTGAACTTTTATTAAAAGAATATGTCTTAAATAAATGCCAAGGACGATGTATACAAAATTCTTATACACTTCGTATATCACCGTATATGATCCTATGTCTTCGTATTGCATATGGAGTTAGTAAATGATCTCGTTTACATTCATAAACGATTGTATTTCTCTGTATGTGATACGAAGAAATACGATCTTAAGACGAAGTCATATAAATTATGATGATTTACAAACGTACCTGTTCGACATGGATGTACGAGAAGTAAAAATAGAATGCATAACCTACAAAAATTTTCAGTTGTGCATTTTGTTTATTATTTTGAAGAAGATTTTTTTGCTTAATAAAACTTATAAACGAAACATTGGTAGACTTATGAAACAATTTGTGAACTTTGTAACTTAATAAATATGTTTATTTTTAGATTATATATTAGTCTTACGGAAATCTACGCTTGAGCAGAATATTGAGTCAAAAACTGATGTTCCTCCAGCAAAGAAAATGTATACTTCTATAGTTCGAAAGTAAGGATAAATACAAAGTAGGTATTTCTCCTTGTGTTCCTTCCTCATCAATATAGACGTATTGCAGTTTGACAATTTTGTTCAAAACTTTACAAATCATTCCAAGTGGACTTAGTAGGGTAGCTTTACTAATCAAAATTTTCTATTAACTTTAAAACTATTACATATAATAATAAAAAATGTTTTTCGATATTTTTTTTTCGTTGGCAAAAGAAATAACAATTGAATAAATAAATATTTTTCATTGAAATAGTAGATATAATTTTCTTATGGGTGATAGAAAATGTTGATTAAGAATTTTTCTAACTTCTATATTCATAGCTCATTAATATTCTTAAACTTTAGTTCCAATTAATAAATACCTTTAGTAAAGCTAAAACAACGGCGAAAATTGCATTAAAACCCTAGAAAATGAAAAAGAAAACTCATGTTCTGCTTTTCTGTATAATTAATGCAATCAACTTCATACGAAAAAAAATATCCATAATACGAAAGACTAAATAAAGTAGAAATTTTGCTGTAAATAATGTTAAAAATCATTGTGAAGCAAACATATGACATTCTACTTTAACCCTTTGGTTATGGTTTTTTTTTCTACCTCAAAAAGTTTTTAGTTTTTGTCAAAATCCTGAAAAAAAGGATATGTACGCGCATGGCAGTACTATGCAATGACGCGCTGATTCTGATAATGCGAGACCACTTCTATGACTTGACTAAATGTTGAAGCCTAACAGGACAATCCTAACATGTGGTTGCTTAGTTTGCAACTAGATTAGAGTAAGATAATATTAGCGTACGAATATTGGCGTAACCACTGCAGTAGTATTTTATAAGATATCTCAAGAATGACGCACTTTGTCTTAGAAGTAAATTCCTAGGTTTTTATGTACGAAGACATTTTGTTTCAATGGCACAACAAAGCTCAGTTTGATTTGACAAATTTTAGTTACACCGCTAAGTATGACTTCTCTAATGTTAACCAGAACAGTATACGAAAAAGGACAGCATTGGATAAGATGGCGAGTGAAAAGTCGTATTCACGCAGAACTCTACTAAAGCAAAAAAATCATGTATGTCATAGAAGTATTCTAAGCAAAGCACAGCCCGTATATATACGGGCCCCATAATGAAAGGGTTAAGATCATAAAAATGTGCACAAATATCCGGTAAATTCTCTTCTATTAAATAATTTAATTGATAAAATTTCATTTGAAGATTTTCGAAATTTGCTTTATATATTTCATGTATTAAATAACGTTCGTCTTCCATTAATTTACATAATAGCATAAATGCTTGTTCTTCAGGCATCTAGAAAGAAAAAAAAGCAGATTTTTAATATTAAAAAAAATAAATCAATTTTTGTTTTACTTATATGCATAAGTAAAGTTGCGATAATAAATGACAAAATCTTGATAATAGCCAACTTCTTCATTCCGAACTGAATAAGCCTTTAAACAAAATTATTAAATTAAATATCATTTTCAGAGGTGGCACGAGCGAGTCAGTGTAGAAGAGAGATATTTCCAGAAATGCGAGAAACATGTACTCTAACGCAATAGCGTTCGGAGTCGATCGAAATTCAGTAGGCGTAACATAAATTTATTCTTGCAGTTAAAAATGCGCAAAAAATGTTGCTGTTTCGATCAACTGTAACATAAAAGTCAAATTTTGAGATAAACGTTCATAAATTCACACAGAACTCAAACCATTTACTGCGTAGCAAACATTAGTGCAGACTTCTAAAATATTCTATTTTGTGTTGCAACTCTTTTTGTAGCGAAAACTTTTTCGCATTCAACTAAGAAAAGGTTTTGAGTGTTTTTCGCTGCCAAAAG